TAGATGGTAATAGTACATCAGTTATTGATATCTTTATTTTAAAGTTGATCATATCGTTTATTTCGAAAATTATATAAACAATATTAAGATTGCATAAAAGTAATCTTGATGAATTCATCAATTCTTGATATATTGCAGAATTTAAGTTACACCATTTTCGAAATAAACGACTTGATTTAAGACGTTGATTCTGTTCTATCTTGCAATCTAGATTTTGAAATTCTTAAATCGTATAGATCCTGATATATTTTATACATATATGTTCATAAGTGATGCGAAATCGTACAGTCCCCCTCGTATTATCACCTAGCACAAATTATTTTACCCTCTGTTATCCGTTTCGTATTTAGTCCTCCACGTTCAGCTAAAGCCCGTAGAGATCCTTATCTGATAATTTCTTTCAGATCAAAAAGCGAAACTACCGAAAGCGGCGAATCTGTGCACGAGGAGGCTGAGTCCACCATCTAAATTGAAAGGAAAAAAAAAAACAGAAAAAACCGTCCTTCCATAGAATAATTCTCCGTTGTGTGCCTTGTCACATTTTAAAGGAAATCATGCTAGACACGAGAATCTGTTTTAGTACAATAAAAATACTTAATAAAGAAAAATAAATAAATCAGACTGTTTGTTACACAAAAATACAATGTACATATATTCGCTTTCGCGAGTTCTCGAGTCCTGGATTATACTTAGGATGAATTACTCGTGATTTTCGCCTTTCCTAATTTTTAGTGATTTTCTAATTGAAAAAAGTAAAACTTTAATTGATAATAATGATAATAAAAATTAAGCAACAAATGCATTTATAAAATTTTAATATAATTTCGCCACTTTCTCCATTTGAGAGAGATTTACCATTCATATATAAATTTACTTTATCACAAAATAAGATAATTTATAAAAATGAGTAAATTAAACAAAGATTTATATCGTTATTTCATCAAGAAATCAAAATTTACTTTTTTTAATTACATTAACGAGAAAAGAGAATGATTTTTAAATGACGAATTATTATGTAATATTGATTAGAACATGATTAAATTTTCACATGTGTTGTGATGTAACAATGTGTAACGTGGCGTTTTAAAGATAGTTCTCTCTTATGTCATGCATCACGTGAAGATCTAACCACTGCATGAATAATAAAATATTTTGCAAGAATATGTCCTGCGAAACGAATTAAAAATAAAATAAATTATGAAATTTATTTTTATTTTTATTAAATTTGGCAATAATCGACAAAAAGTATTGCGATAATAAATCAATGGTTCATTGTTGGATATAGAAGCAACTCTATATACCGATTGTCTTAATTATTATCATTATTATTTTTTGTTATAAAAAAAAAATATATATATATATTAGCTAACAAAATGTAGTTAAGACAGATTTTTTAAAATTTTAAACTTAATAAAATTAATAAGTAGATACAGTAATATTGTAATAAAAAAAAAGTATAAAGAAAAATAATTTAAATTTATTTCTAAATAAGATATTTTATGAGTTAAAAATATGTTCTGGACACAAGCAAGACACTGTAAATCTGGATAATTAAAAGACATATTTTAGAACGTACTGGCAAAATAACGTCAAAATGACTATGACGCTTTGTTTCTATAAGCATATATTTACACGGTATTTGAGTAATCTTGAATATATATGCAAATATCAACATACTAAATTATCAATATTTTACACGTAAAGAGATAAGCATCGAGGGAGACGTTTCCTTGCAGCCAAGTTAATAGTAAGCTTGCAAGGCCAATCAAACATGAAACTTCGTAGTACACCTAGGATAGATCAACGATGTGTCATGTCTACTTGGTTTACCAGGTCAGTTATCACCCATCGTAGAACGTCATTGTATAATTAGCGTGCTCTGGTTTGACGTCATTGTTTCATATAAATACTGAATGTCCAGTCCTGGCCACCATAAACTTGTGAGAGAGCTGTCTCGACGTACTTTCAAGTAAATGCTTTGCATTGAAACGTTACTTCCTCTTTGAGTAATCTAATCTTGAGCGAAAGCAATTATATTATTTTTCTTGCTAAATATCGTCAATAACTCGATACTTTCCAATTAACGGAATGGTAAGCATCTTTTTTCCAAATTTAAAAACAGATCATTTCTCTTAAATGTATACATATAGCTTCTGTTTCTATTTCAAATCTATATATAATGTCTTTTCTACAATTTTAATAATTTTTTTTCTTGTAAAAATATAAAATGTTCTAATTAATTTTGATACTTATTTGAATCATATAGTATACAAATTATTAGAAGCAAATCCGTTTTATTTTAACAAATACATATATATATATATATATATACATATACTGCAGGAAATATGTATATTGAATATTTTTTAAAAATATCTACGTTTTATTTGAAATTTGGGATATTTTTTAAGCATAAACTATTGATTTGCAAATTTTTAGATATCATTGACACTGATTATATAAAGATGCATCTTTTTTTCTTAGATGGCTGTCACATTTATTGTCTTTACACTACTCTTAGTCGCCTGTTCTTACGCATCACCTCTTAGAATGATGAGCATGTATGATTCTCCCATACTTGTTGTGCCGGTTGTTGTTCAAGAACTAGACGATCCTCAAACTTTAATGAACAAGGAATCGATGTACGCATTAAACGACGGTTCTAAAGTGAATGATATCGCGACATCCAACATCGAAAAACGCAGTGTAGAGGAAGCAAATGATGATGATCTTGAGACTGCAGCTGGTACCAATGTTCTTCGTCCTCTCTTTGTGTATCGCCAACAAGTCGCGTATCGACAACGTGCCAGAGATGCTTTTCGACGAGGTAGACGAATATAAGCAAAAGATGCAAAAGCTGATTTGAAGATTTCAACAGATTGTGACTAATTGTTATCTCATTTTGATATTATCGGGAGGATAATACATTCGAGATACATGGAGACTTCTATATAAAAAAGTCTCAACGATTCTAAAGATCTTCAAAGTCCTAAAGAAGGATTAAAAAAAGATCGGACGAGAAAAAACTTCATGAAATTTAAATAAAGACACGCAAAGCCTGAAGAAAGATGGATAAATTATAGGGAAGTTAAGGTGGTGGCTGTATTAAAATGATTTGATTAAACAAAGTACAACATCTATTTTGAAAAATAGCAAATTATGACACGGACTTTTTTTAAACACAACTGACTCCGTAGCTCGCCAAGGCCTATATGAGGTAAAGCTTGCTGCGAATATTTATGGGTGTGCCGTAAGCATACAAAAGTAAAAACCTTATAAACAGCAAAATGGAAGATTCGCTCCAATATGAAAATTTCTGACGCAAATAAAACTGTTTTCTTGTCGAAGCTTACCGCTGAGATAAAAACACATGTGAAGTATAGAAAAAGAAAACAAAGAACCGGTAACGGAAAGGAAGCCTTTTGTATTGAAAAACGAGTGAACTTTAAAACATCAGCAAGGATATTGAACTTGTTAGTATAATTATCTACGCTAAAAGGTTGTGGACATTATTTTGACGAATATTAACGGTATAAATTAACGAGTGTGAACTAATATATCTTGCTGACTCAGAGGGGTCTTCTTTTAACGACGGAAGAGCGAAACAACAGGAGCAAAAAATCAAGAAAACATTTAGCTATTTTACGGTCATATATGATCTCTTATAAAAATTGTATAGATTTAAATCGAATTAAAACTAAACATATAAGACAGTGAGCTGATTAAAATAATAAATAGAAGAATTAGAGGAAGCGGCAGTATATACTGCTTTATAATTTCTAATGTAATTAATTAGCGTTTCCTTTAATTATAAGTCGATTATTACTTAAAAATAGCATTAATAATTAAAAGCTATCGACCAAAGTTACTTTAAGTAAGCAAATAAGTTAATAATATTAGGGTCTGAGCATAGGATTGCCGTAACACATATTAAGACATACTTAAGTTTTAGACGTAAGCAACGCACAAGTTTTGGCGTTGAATTAATGGACATCGATATATGTCTTTATAGCGTGCTACCACGTGCTATATAAGCAAAAATAAGTAATCTAATCGTTTGTAAGCAAGTCAAAAATAATCTTGTTAATTGTCCTGAAAGAGTCTTTAATGTGTTAGAATCTGTGCTCCGATCTTTAGTTGAATGGATACTCGAATGTACATATGGGAGTGTTATTTATGACATAATTTCTTTGTTGAGAGTAAATATTACTTACGTAATGAAATAAATATGTATATGACGTTTTATAAATAAATGTAGAATATTAATTATACATATGTTCATTTTACTTCTTATTATTATCATCATTCACAAATACATAACATAATTAAATTAATTAATAAATACATTTTTATTTTTTAATATAATTAACATTTTATTGTTTTTTGTTATCATAAACTTATCGATACAATATAAAAAGAAAATGTTTATTAAAATAAAATATAGAATTGAGAACAAAAATTGATAAAATAATAAAATAATGTATTATTTACTTTCATTTTAAAAATATTCTGACTTTGTTTTAAATACGCAAAACTTTTAAAGAAATTAAGCACTAGCTCAATTTAATTATAAGAGCCCCAACACACACTTTTGCATAACGCATAAAGCATGTGCATAAGGAATTTCATTGGCCCATTTTCTTTTGCATGAATCAATGGACCAATCAAATTCTTTATGTATATGGTTTATGCGTTATGCAAAAGTCTGTGCTCTCCGCTTAAGCGTTAACTTTTATTGGTAAAAAAGTCATTCTAGAGAACTTCGATAAAATTGTTTTAGAAGTAATCTCTCTCTTCTCAAGAAACATTGCAATTTTGATTTTATCATTTATTTATAATCGTAAGTTTATAAGATTACTTTTTAAAATTTATTATTGATACATACTTCTCTATTTTCTCTATCAGAAATATCTGTCATTACCATTTTCTACTTATATGGCTATGCAAATTTAATTTCCTTTTAATGAGAAGAAAAAGAAAAAAAACTCAGGAACTTCCATTTATTTTCCTGAAAATACAGGCGGGTATCTCCAGTAATTACGATAACGTTCCCTTCTGTCATTCGCTCGATATCTGTGATTTGGAAACTGTCTTCGATAATACAGATTCCAATACGGATATGCAGATGAATACCTATCTTCAGCCATGCTAAGATCACCCTCGTAGTTCAGATTTGATTTCGGAAGCACACTCCTACTGTAGTCATGGTTGTTAAACTTAATATCATTAGAGATCGATGCGAGGTTTGAGTAATCTGAGTTGCCTTTTTCAGTTTGACGACTTAAACGAGCCGGTATTAAACTAGGATCCAATAGGATATCATGCGACGATAAATCCTCAGACGGTTCTTCTTTATGATCTGCATCGTTTTCTTTATCCCCATTGTCTCTCAAGTGTTGCGTATCTTTAATATTATTGCTTGAAAAGTCACTAGTTGAAATTGTGGATACATTTGATGCGTTATTTAAATATGACGGATCCTTTGCTTCTTCTCCAACCTGGGTAGAGTTCTTCATTTTCAACCAAAAGATATTTAGTATTATTCTATACATTTTGTTTCAAATTTACGTGATTCTTGACATCTCTTACGTCATGTATATTGTCCCACGAAGTTCCAATCGTTGTCGATTCAGTGGACGTTGATTCCGCCAGGATCGCGAGAGAATAGAAACTGAAGAGAATAATGCTCAAGCATTCCATTTGAATCACGGATTTTTTGGATGATATAAAGAGTATAGTTTCCAATTGCAGACTAATGGCTCAGGAAGTTGAAGCAAGTCTTTTATAGCTTGCTATTCAGGATTCGTTGCTAAATTACTTGTTAAACACTATCGACTCTCGATATCGTTATGAGTCCGCTAACTATAAATACAATATTTCTTCGTAGTTGGTCAAACAGTAGTTGTTGTAATATTCCAACATTTTTGTACGTTATATTATTTCATAATTGTTTCATAAATTTATAAAGGAATATAAAGAAATTATGTTTAAAACGATAACTAAAATGAATATCCAACCTTTAATAATTTTCTACAATTTTTGTAATTTTTTGTAATTATATTTATCAAAGTTATATTAAACTATAAGAAATAAAATATTAGCACATGTATATTTATCAAAACAAAAGAATCAATATTTTATACAACACGAAAAAATGTGAAAAGTATAAGATTATAACTCATTAGATGTAATTATTATATGATTAATAATTATATATGTCTGTCTGTATGATCTGTATGATACAGCATCCGTGCAACGAAGTTACCGCAAGGTTGATACTCACGTTTATTAACAGAGAAACGATAATTCTTTCAGCACGTCGTATAAAACCAGTATGATCCGTTATACCTCGACAGAGCTGGAAAATCTTTGGCGAAGCAGTCTTGTCGAAGTTACAGGAAGATTATTGCAGTTTTATTATCGAGATGAAAAACGACTTATCGGTACGTTTTAAGATCACTTGAAAAGTCCATTTTTTATATAAGCAATTAATACAATATATACCGTACGAAGAATAAACGCAAAATTTTGCGTCATATATTATACAATTTTTTTATTTGAAAAAGTTATTTATACTTATAAAGTTAACAAAAAAATATAAAATATAAAAAATATATAATTAATTGAACGTATGGTATATTAAATTACAAAATTATTTAATCACTTTAATTAACTTTACGTTGATATAATATGATAAAATACTTAATTTTTTAATGACAAATTAATATATAATATGTGTGCATTAATATTTTGAATAGATTATTTTTTAGTAATTAAATTCATCAAGTTTTAAAATCTTGAGAAGGTATTAAATTTTATTGTAAACTTTAACCTCTGCTTAAAGTATACAACTTTTCAATTGCATCCAAGCCAAAATTTAAGCTCGTATTTAAAAAACGTCATTGATTGTATTTTTATAGCTTCGGAGTATCATGTTTTTCATGATCTTCATATTATTCGTGTGCATATCGGATGCGAAACCTATTGATTATGAAGACATTGCGAATTTATTACCAACGGAACCTCAGACCACGAATGATACGTTGGCCATTATTGTGCGGGATCCGGTGGTGCAAGATGCTGTACAAAATACAGTCGGCAATGGATCCTTAGAAGGCTTGGTGATAAAAAAGAAAGTGCTCGTTATGCCCGCCACTGAACCTACTAAGGTTTATTTATCATATTCTACATATTTTTACATATACAATTAATTATGAACATTACTCCAACATTTTTACACATCTGCTTCGTTAAAGAATACGATATTTAAAAATACAAATGAATACTGCTGTTATTAATAACATACTTGTTAATTAATTATTAGTATGACTACGATTATTAGCCTTTATTAACAATAACAATTCATAGCGTGATTAATCTTTTACATAACAACAGCAGCTTGGGAATGCTAATTAATTATTGAAAAAATGATGTAATTTTATTGTCGTAATATTAATTGTTTTACTTCATATTATGACTACACCGTGCCGATTCATTTTTAGTATAGAAATAAATAACTGTTTTTAAGAAAATCAAAAAAGATTTAGCATATATATTTAATATATATTCGAATTTATTACATTGTTATGTAAAAGTACAATCTTTTTAAGGTGGTGTCACAGCGTGAACAGATTCTCGTCGTTCCCATGACAAATTTAGAGGATGTACGAAAAAATATAACAGAAACTGTGAATGCAGAAACTATAGATGATTCAACACCTACAGATGTTCAACTTTTTACTGAAAACGATGAAAATGTACACACAAACTCGGTAAAATATGTAAAAATGTCTTTCTGAATTTCTTTTTAAGTATAAATCCCAATAACAAGCATGTCTAAAAGACATCATAGGCTGATATTCCATATGTAAGAGAGAGAAAGAGAGAAAATATCGTCTTAAATACAGTCTTAAGATATTAAATCGATAGGAGCTATTAGCATTTTATTACTTAAGATAGACTTGAAATGAAAAATAGATTACAACGAATATTAGCCATAAAGATCGTCTTATAAACATGCGTATTACCCGGGAACTATAATGATCGACAATTGCCATAATGTATATCAACTGCCAATGTTCTATGTAATTTGAGAAGATGTAATTTAATCGTCAAAGAACATATGGTACATTGACGCAATGTTATGATCTTCCAGGAAAGTAAAGATCTTTCGTTTTATGAATCGCAGCACGGTGATTTATACAAAGCATTAATCGAGACATCTAAAACTACGCAGAAACCGTTCCTTATCGATAATATACCACAAGAAATTCCATATATTGTGCCGAACCCGAGCCAGGAAATAGCGCTCTCGGAACATCCACCACTTACAATATCGGTACCAATCATCGCGTTTCTAGAACCCGCAAAAATATCTGATGATAAAATTGACATGCCGATCGCGGCAGTATTACCAACGCAAGATGAAAACTTAAAAAGTCAATTTGAGAACAGCCGTGACGAAATTCAACGGAATGTTCAAAATTACGTCGATGACAACTCATGGAACGTAGATCCTAACAATTGGCGATTTGATCTGTCCTCTTCGGAGGTAAATCCATTTCTCACAATATTTAAGATAATTTCTTTAAATTCTTTATTTTTTATAAGAACTAAGTACGAAATGAGAAAACTATGAAATTTTGATGGATGCTTAAAACAAACTTCAATATTTCAATTATTACGATAATTTACATAACATTATATAATATACATATATATGTGTGTGTGTATACAATATATACACATATTATATATATATATATATACACATACATTACTATAGAATGTTGCAAATAATGCTAGAAAATAATGCTAGAAAAAAATTAAATCTAAAATTAAACTATGAAGATATTAGTATACCCGTATTTTATAGATATTTTAAAATTGCAATAAATTATAATCGTTACCATCAATGCAATTATTATTGCATTGATTGCAACTAATTAAATTAAAGTTAGTTACAAATTTTGCGTTTAAAGATAAATAAATTCTAATATTTAGAGAAAGAATTAAAAAATGTTTTTTTATCATAGATGGAAGTGTCACCGTCACAGTACGAGCCGAGCACAAAACAAATCAAATACACGAATGATATCGAAAATTCATTGCCTGCCGCAATGTCTCGTGTCGATATTATAACACCACTCTTTTGGACTTCGGATGCAGATACTAACTATTTCAAAAATCCACACGATATGGAAGTTGCCGCGCATACTATCTTTAGACCGCTTTTCAGATACCGACAAGAGATGCAGCGGAGATCTTATAGAAATTCGGCTTATCAAAGATACAATTCTTATCCAAGACGAAATTATCGATATAGATCCCGTTATTCCAACTATTAGTATTTTAACCAATAGTGAACGTTCTCATTACTATTAAAATAATTTATATAGCGTATAATATTAATAATTTTACCTTCGTTACTGTCAAGTTAAACTACGTTAACTTAAAGTACTTAAACTCTATATAAAAATACAATTTACTAAATTTATCGTTTATTAGGATTTTTATATTTTTAACTCAATCTATAAGATTTAAATAATAAAATGGACTATATTAACGTTTGAGTTAATAAATATTTATAAATAAAATATCGATAATTATAACTAAGCAATTATGAAATAAAAAAATAATTAATTAAAATAAATTGTACTTTACAAATTACCTAGTTCTGGTTTGTTCTTTAATTCTGTTCTTCAATTCCGTTTTTTAATCCCGTTCTTTTTTCCAAATATCTTTATTCTATATGGTATTTAAATGAGCAATCGCACATAATTATCTATTATTATCAGTTTTAATTAACACGCAACTCATTTATGTGTCAGTCAGAGTTAAACTTGACATAGTCAAAGAATTATTCCTTGTCTTCACGTTTTCTCACATTACGTATGGATTCCTCAAAATAGAAAGTGTATATATGTTAAATGGTCGCGAATTTAAACTGCTAAAAGAGGCAGCTTTGGAATTAATTTAACATTTACTAGATCGTATCTTGAGATATATGTAACGGCAGTGTCGCGCGCTTGGCTTAGCGCCGAGACACTACCGTGTCTCCAGATACCTACATATTTAGAGATCATTTATTAGAACGTCTGACGATGACATATGAAACGTGTGTCAGTATATGTATATTCTAAAGCGGAACATAAAGTCTGTGTAAAAAATGTGTGTCGAAAACAAATACAAATTCGTGGATGTAGATTAATATCTTTTACTGTTTTCATGAAAAAAATAAACAAAACCAGTACATACTTCTTTCGAAAGTAACACTATATATATTCAAAAAGTAGGAATTATAGTGCATAATTATAATTAAACCTTATTATATCTGATAGAATTAAAAAAAGTAATATAGATAATTTTTCAACGATTATTGCTTACAAAAATGTTTAGGTATCTCCTTAATCGATGTCTTCTACGATTGATTATAATTGTTACAGCTTACAATTTTGTAACAAATAAAGCATTGCTCCGTGATAATATAGCAAATTGTTATATATGTTTCATTATTGTAAATCATTATTATATATTTCTTATTAAAATATCTCTAATTTAATTATATAACAACAATAATTTAATTATATAACAACTCTATTAAAGTAGAATTGTATTACTTACATGATATGCATATTTCTTTAATGGTCCATTTAATATTAGATAGATATATAACGTTAAAGAATAATGCTTGTAACATTATAGGAACTGTTCCTAATATTAAATATAATAAAATTACGAGCGTTAGTCAAGGTCTCATTGGCGAATAATTTGAACGATTATTGGCATATTTACTAAGAATACAGTAGAAATTACTGCAGTTTGTAGTAAACGTATCATTGTTAATACCCTCGGGGTGAATATAAGTTAGTCACTTGCTCTTTCATCTATTCATTCATACGACGTAAGACAGTAGTTGTCTAATTTTTCGTGATGTGTGTTCCGAACTTTTTAATTAGCTTAAAATAAACGCGTACCTCCGTATAATGTAAATCGCGTTCAAAAATAATTTTTATTAAAATTTAAATGTAAAATAATACATTTAAATACCGATAGCAAAAAGGACAAAATAAATTTTAATACTTTTGTTCTTTATACCAGAGTTACTTTTAAATGAGAAACACTGTCACCTTCACTGGAAGAGTGGGAAAACCGCTTGCATATGCAACACGTGTGAGTCGTACGTACGTACAAATGTTTAGCGTTCAATGAATAGGCGTTTAACACTAGCAGAATTCAGTGTGGATTACAAGAAAATGCTTAATCCTGAGTTTACATTAACTCAGAAGTAGTTTCCGTATTTATATCATTCCGTATTTATATCAACCAAGTTTCGTAAAAAGCTAAAAAAATGTTTTCAGATCCTAATAAAGATTAATTGTTAAAATAATACAGAAATTAAATGAATGTAAGCTTAATATATAATACAAGTACTACTTTGTTACAGAATTATTTTTTTCACCATGTTTATATTACAATGTACAGCTTATATCTAATAACTTTTCCATCAAAAAATTCAATTAAAAATATTACACGTGAATAATAAATTATAATAACAAGTTATAAGTTATAATAATAAGTTACAGCAGTAATGATGTATTCAAAAATTCTACATTTGTACTCATAAAATCCATATCATAAAACTATTATTTCGTAGAAATGGTCAAAAGTTCGTTTCCCTTTCCTTTCTCCTAACAGCTTTTTTTTTCATTGAGGGCTTTCACCCATCTAGGGTTGCAAAAGAAATACTACGAATTTTCGAGTCTTTTCATTTGTTTTGTGGTTCGTTACGAAGATGACTCACTGTGGACTCGCAGTGGCGGGACTTTTACCAAGAACAAGACTGCTCTTGCTTTACAACGAATCTGCATATCAGATTCCTGTGTGAAACTAACTTAATTACGTTCTTCAAGATCGCAGCCGGCTCTTACGTATATAACCGTTGCGCGGTCGATCTTTCCCCTCAAATACCGCCTAAGAGTCCGAGCAAGAACTGGAGAGCGAGCCGCAATCAAGACATTCGCGACAGGAAAAGAGGAAGTATCACTATACAATGAGATTGACGTTGACGGTAAGAAACAAAAAAACGACGTAATTTATCTAATAATTAATTTAATTTTTCAAACTTTATCTTCTCCAACACTAAAAAAATTTTTTTGATTAGACATTACATATATTCAAAATATTTTATAGTTTTAAATATAATGTATCAGGTTGAATTTACTGCTGATTCCTTTTTTTACCGCTTAATTTAACATAATATAATTAAATAACAATTATGTTAAACGATAAAATCAATATTAAAACTATAATAGTAAAAATATATAAAATTAAAATGTAATAAGTAATATACACAGTTGACAATCTTATAAAACTCTTTAAAAAGTAACTACTATTTAAAAACATACTACAATGCTATATATTCTTTTATTAAAAATATAAAAGATTGTCTAATTAATTTCATTATCTCTCGACAATATTTCCTTTTGATTTTAATTACTTTTAGTAATCATACATTTTAAATTAAACATTTTTTAATTAAAGTTTAATTTCAACCTCTTGTTTGTTTGCACATAAAGTTTTATTATTCATTTTTATTCGTAATGATATGAGAGACGCTATATTGCGGAATATCTTTATTAATCATTAAAAATAGAAGTCGTAAAAATTAATGAAATTCCATTTTTTATCATCTTCATTAGTAGATACTAAAATAAAATAAGCAAGTGAATTAATCATTGAATTAAAACAGATATTCTGTAAACCCGCGGAAGTGATATTTTTTATTTCAATTGTCTAAATGGCATTGGCGTATATTCGTTTAAGGAAATATGTCATCTTCCGCGTTTTAAGAGGTGATTAAAGCTATCGTATCAAACCGCAGGAGATAACATGCGTACCGTCATGTAGTAAAAATTATATCAACTTTGAGAAAATTTAAAAAAACCTGAATTTTTTAAATTTAACATGTATGCTTATATCTTCTTACTTACACATTTATTAATACTATTAATTTATTCTTTTTTTTTTCCAAATAAAGTAGAAATTTATTTAATGATACGATATTATAATCTGCATTTAAAGATAGAAATAATATAAAAATTAACATCTTATTTGTACTCATAAAATCCATATCATAAAACTATTATTTCGTAGAAATGGTCAAAAGTTCGTTTCCCTTTCCTTTCTCCTAACAGCTTTTTTTTTCATTGAGGGCTTTCACCCATCTAGGGTTGCAAAAGAAATACTACGAATTTTCGAGTCTTTTCATTTGTTTTGTGGTTCGTTACGAAGATGACTCACTGTGGACTCGCAGTGGCGGGACTTTTACCAAGAACAAGACTGCTCTTGCTTTACAACGAATCTGCATATCAGATTCCTGTGTGAAACTAACTTAATTACGTTCTTCAAGATCGCAGCCGGCTCTTACGTATATAACCGTTGCGCGGTCGATCTTTCCCCTCAAATACCGCCTAAGAGTCCGAGCAAGAACTGGAGAGCGAGCCGCAATCAAGACATTCGCGACAGGAAAAGAGGAAGTATCACTATACAATGAGATTGACGTTGACGGTAAGAAACAAAAAAACGACGTAATTTATCTAATAATTAATTTAATTTTTCAAACTTTATCTTCTCCAACACTAAAAAAATTTTTTTGATTAGACATTACATATATTCAAAATATTTTATAGTTTTAAATATAATGTATCAGGTTGAATTTACTGCTGATTCCTTTTTTTACCGCTTAATTTAACATAATATAATTAAATAACAATTATGTTAAACGATAAAATCAATATTAAAACTATAATAGTAAAAATATATAAAATTAAAATGTAATAAGTAATATACACAGTTGACAATCTTATAAAACTCTTTAAAAAGTAACTACTATTTAAAAACATACTACAATGCTATATATTCTTTTATTAAAAATATAAAAGATTGTCTAATTAATTTCATTATCTCTCGACAATATTTCCTTTTGATTTTAATTACTTTTAGTAATCATACATTTTAAATTAAACATTTTTTAATTAAAGTTTAATTTCAACCTCTTGTTTGTTTGCACATAAAGTTTTATTATTCATTTTTATTCGTAATGATATGAGAGACGCTATATTGCGGAATATCTTTATTAATCATTAAAAATAGAAGTCGTAAAAATTAATGAAATTCCATTTTTTATCATCTTCATTAGTAGATACTAAAATAAAATAAGCAAGTGAATTAATCATTGAATTAAAACAGATATTCTGTAAACCCGCGGAAGTGATATTTTTTATTTCAATTGTCTAAATGGCATTGGCGTATATTCGTTTAAGGAAATATGTCATCTTCCGCGTTTTAAGAGGTGATTAAAGCTATCGTATCAAACCGCAGGAGATAACATGCGTACCGTCATGTAGTAAAAATTATATCAACTTTGAGAAAATTTAAAAAAACCTGAATTTTTTAAATTTAACATGTATGCTTATATCTTCTTACTTACACATTTATTAATACTATTAATTTATTCTTTTTTTTTTCCAAATAAAGTAGAAATTTATTTAATGGTACGATATTATAATCTGCATTTAAAGATAGAAATAATATAAAAATTAACATCTTCGCAAATAATTAAAAGTAAAATATGTAAATATTAATTTATTTTTCAGCTTTTTTTATTGACTATCTCGCTAAGCTTAAGCAGTGCGAGAAGTCGACAACGCACAAGCATATTAAATTCCGATCGATTATCAATCAATCAACCAGATTACACACAATCAGACAAATCCTTGGATGATGAAAGAGACATCAAGCGAGTGCAAATCTATAATCAAATTGGATTGGATGGTAAAGTGCGAAGGATTCATTTGGATTCTAATGAAGAGAATAAACCAGGCATTCGCGCATATGGTTTACCGAGAAAACATTTTCAAGATAACGGTATTATCGAGAGATTGCATCTTGGAGAAGATCGCATAGATGATACCTTAAAAAGTGGTCGATTAGTAAATATTCTCTTTTTTTTAAATCTTCTTAATATATTATATCAAAACTTAAAATATAAATTTATGTAAAATAATATAATACACATTACAATATATATTGAAAAAATTAGATTATATATATATATAAAAGTTTAAATTACAATGATTAAAAAATCTAAATTAATAATTCATAAAAATTGTAAACGTATACAATGAAAATGTATCTTTTATAGGTTGAAGCTTACGGAATACCGAAGAATAAAATGGAGACCAACGGTTTTATAGAAAGATTGCCATTATCAAGCACTGGTCATCAAGTTGCTAAATTAGATTCAAGAAATGAAAATATTAGAATAAGGAGATCTATTCGTACGGGATTCGAGAACAAGGTCGAAAAGAAGGTCGCTAGCGAGGCGGAAGATATGCAGACACAAGATTCTAAGGTTTTCAGACCGCTTTTCGTCTACAGACAACAAGTAGCTGCTAGGGAAAGACGGAAGCACGCGAGGAATGTAGTACATAGACATCACGGACATACGACGCATCAACCTTGCTACCATCATCGAATGATCCACTGATTTTATTACAATAAGAATATCATAAATATGTATTCCTCATTCTACAGAAACTAAACTAATTAGATTTAATTTAATACCTACATTTATACAGCAAGTTCTCATTTCTTAGACAATAAATATATAAAATAATGTTCTATAAATGTTTAAAAGAAATCTTACTCTTTTTCAGATTCGTTAAAATTATTTTTCTAAATTTTTCAGACATTTAACTTTTTATAGTAAAATTTTATCTTTACAGATAATTTCTGTTTCATTAAATAAATACGAAATATTTTTAAAAATCTATAGCTCTATATAATTTCATATAATGTTGAGTTTTGTATTATTGATTATGCTTAAACAATTGCATTAAAGTATAAATGTAGTTATAACTAGTTGTAAATTATTAGAAGAGTAGATCGCATATTTAAAATTACAAATTTTACATTTTGCATTAGATTAAAACCATTGCCTTATTCTTTATGCACGATGCCAAAAAGTATTATACAAATTAATAATTTTAAATTAGTTTATTCTAAATAGAATCGTTGCTAGACTTACTATATATGTATACGTACTAAATGTTATTACTGTATCTATTAAATAAAATATAAATTTGACAACGTTTTCTTATTTACCATTCTTATATAATAACTTGAAAATTATCAAATGCAAAATTTGGACTTAGCACGACACTTTTAGAAAAAGTTTTAGGTCCAGATATTAAAAAATTAATAAAGAATCCGTAACTGCTGGAACTCTAATTAAAGTTTAGAATTCTACGAGAACTCTCGAAAACTGTCACCAAAACTAATTAATGTACATGATTAAAACAACCCATTTTCTAAAATTAAAATAATTAGAAACAATGATTATTTTTATTTTATATATTATTTTTCTTTTACTGGAATATAATTCTCAACCATAGTGAAATTACTGATTTTCCACGAGCTTCTTTCCATTTTAATATTAAATTTCTCTTTTGTATAGAAACCAAAATATATATATCCGAATTTTTCTTTTTGATGATCATTTTTATACATTTTTATTTGACAAGTGCATACCCACACATTTTGATTTCTCGATTTGCCATTTCAAAATTACCGCGGTGCAAATGTTTCAATAGCCGAATTTGAAATCTGCGCAGAATCGTACGAAATTTTTCTCGAGAATGTGCACATCTGAATTTCTTCCGCCACGGTTTAATGACAAGCTTATTAATTGACAGCTGCAGTATACCAAATAAATTGTATATATAAATCGCACGTGTTAGTTTTCCTTTGATAATACACTTAATAATACTCATTTCGTTTCCAAATATACAATAGATAAAAATTAATCATGCTATTTTAAAGGAGATACATTACAAAATGCTTTAAAATAATTACGCCTATCTTTGACAGTATAGGCTAGATTCCAAATCTATTTATCTAAATTAAAAAGCAAGTGCAATAAATTTTAAAATATACACAATAGAAGATAATTTATTTAAAAAATGTAAACTTAGGACATCATTGATCACGTAAGTAAAACACTTCTGTAATTTGTTAATTATTTATTTAACTATATATTAATTTTCTTTCCGTATTTTTACGTATACATATAAAGTATAAATATACATGTAATTTATATTTATTGATCTTATTAAAGTTAAAAATCTTAAGAATTTATTTTATTTTTAACATATAACTAATTTATATATATTTTATCTATATGTTAGCATGTATACAAGAATATGGAATGTGTTCGAACTAAACAAAATTATTTTTATAATTGTCATACACACACTTGACTTATTATTGCTTCTTGTATTATTGCCATTCATGGTGTGGAAATGGATTTCTGAAAGACCATATATAATAACGATTTTGAGAGCAATCATCGAGGTAATGTTTAATACTTATTTTATGGATTTTAAAAGATTAATATATCTTCGACATATCTAATTTTGAAATTAAAAAAAATTTGTTAAACATTTATGTCTATTATTTGTATATATTGTATTTACATTCCTTTTTTTATATTTATTTAAAATTTGTTATATTTTTTTGCAGGTTACTTTAGAATTGATCATGTGGATTATCTTTGCTGGTGTATCAATACTTACAACTATAATTATTGTATTTGATGATGTATATTGTAGTAAAACACACTGTGACAATCGGCAAAAATATTTACATGTTGTACAATATGATAATGATGATAAAAATTCTCATATTGTAAATTCTTCAAATTAACAAAAAATTTTAAATACATAAATAAAATTTAAATTGTTTTAAATTTTAATTAAAATTTAAGTCATGAAATATTTAAATATTAATAACAATTTTCAATGCTGCGTTCGTACGTTTTAACAATAAATAATGATAAGCCTACCAGGACCAATAAATTTAAAACGAACAAAAGTTAGATATACACAAAGATTGAATTTATTATGATTACCTTTTTACATTGACAACAGTACATTTCGACTTTACTAACAAAAGTCCTCCTCAGTTGTAAATATACATAAATTTTAATTTGATGTAACGGTAGGATATTTATATATATTTACAGCTGAAAGAGAGAGAGAGAGAGAGAGAGAGAGAGAGAGAGAGAGAGAG